CAAAAGGCCATAAGAATGGATGCAGGAGGCATATATTTTCACACATGACGTAAAAGATTGTCTTTGTTTCAAAGAAAGTGGTACATGTACATAGGTGCTTCGCAGTGTCTTTATGCCGTTTTGTTTGCTTTGGCCCATAAATAAACTCTTACAGAATATCGTTCCATCATCAATTATTCAAGGCGGTGAATTTCAGGCTGAACTATGAAATAAGCTCTTAGACGTGATAAGAACACGCAAAAGCGTCAGTCATGGAGGAAAGGTCACGTCAAGGTCAGCTCCGTGCACACTATCATTGTCTTGCCTGCCCGGTTATTACCGGCTGTTACGTGTTGAAGGTGCTTGAGACTGCAGATGAGCTGACAGGCAGTGAATGATCATGATATGGTTGGGCAATGGTGCGCGTGAAAGAACGTGTTCCTCATAATACTTTACTAGCCACTAGAAATATGCTGCTGTTTTTAGCTAATATTTACCCTACAAAATATTTCTTAATAGTTTTAACTAGTGTTAAAGGTACAAGTTAAAACGAACTAAAACCGTGATTTTGTTCTGCAGTGTCAATGATTACTGGGGATGATTTATCTGTTATTTACTAGCTGAACATACACATGTACTCGAGATGTACGTAGCTGAAAAACTCGATTGAGAGTTTGAACATTCAACCTGAAGCTTGACCGTTATATTAATGGGCCTCAACGGAATCCACACTGCGGTGGCAGAAAGAACGTCATCATGTTCTTTCTGACTTGCGTTTTTTTTGGGAGGGGGGCACAAAACATTCATCTATCAATATTGACTGGCATTAAAATGAAAGTCATTGCACCTAAATCACGGGAATCCCGAACCTCCTCTCGTAATAGCAGAGACCTGTATTTGACCCAGACAAAGCGGCCTTCGGCCTAGAAATCGTGCCCGGAATCTGGACACGTCACATGTGGAGTATTTCTAGTTCCCCTGGAACTCGTGGGTCAGGGGTGGGATAAAAATAGCGCGGGAACATCCCTACTGTTGTGGTAGTGTCTGGGCAACTCGGCCTCTCAGGTCCACTGTCCATGTCGTAACCAGGATTTCGTCATGTCAAAGACCGCGTGGTACACGTCACCTGTAACGTTTCAAAGCTGAAGTAGCGACAGGAAAACAGCTGCCATTCATTATCTGCCACAAACACCCCCCAAATCATGTCTAGAGTGAGCTATTGATTAAGTTGTGCCCTGCCCTCTTCATCTCTAACAAGTAGCCACTGAGTCAAATAACGCGGACTAGATCTCCCGCTGCTTGAGTCTAAACACACTTTCTATATTTTTCCCTTTATCTCTTCATTCGAGACAACGGCCACTTTAGCTGTCTGCAGTGGAGCAAGACCAGGTTTCGACACAGAACAAACACTTCTAGGTAAAGTAGCCCCTTGGAACTAGACGACGTAAGAGGTTTTTTCCGTAGCGTATTTGTAGCGTCAAAGATTCATTTATAGCAACCCTCTCCCCATCCACTGTGAAAGAGAAAAGATCTGTCCCCTGCACGTACGTTGATGAATATGTACTAAGCCAATTATACAAGTCTGCGAATATTCATGACTCGGAATAAATACTTTATTGATACAGTAACATTTAAACATGTAACTGGGCCACTTGAAATACACGGGGAAGGAGGTGGGGTGGTTTGGCATACAAAACCAGCCAGAGAGCGCCAGTCTCAGGGGTATGAATTGAAAAAAGAAGCAAAGTAGAGATGTATGACATTAAATGATGAGAAATCTGGTAATAGAAATGTTGTGTAAATAACTTGTGTAGAGGGAAATGTGCTATTAGACTGAGTTATGCGCTATAAGCCAACTGTGGAAGTTGACATTTATCAAAATGCTAAATCCTCAGATGTACAGCTCACTAATGGTCTGTGTCTCACATCGGACACTACAGGAAGGAGGAAAAGGAGCGGAGGAACCCTTCGAATTCTGGATGAAAGAAGTGTGAACGCTAGACCGACATTTGATCATTGCAATAAACCATCCTCTCAACAGATTGATCCAGCAATTTCCTCCATGCCAGATGTTTAACAGTCCAATCCTGACGTCCTGTGGTTTTTACAGGTAAAACACTTGTGACAACATGTTGGGTGGCAGAAAACAGGAAAGATAACTTCCCATATGCGCTACGCATGTTTAACATGGTGGGGTGGGGCAAGAACTTTGTCCTGCCGAAAGGCTGTATTATACATTGATTCGCACTTAAAACTGGATTGTTAACTCTCTATAGAGCTGTTGATGATGGGATGCAGTAGTAAGATACAAAGTAACAAATATGCATTTGCATTGAGCAAATGAAAATGATACAAAGTAAGAAATATGCATTTGAATTAAGCAAATGAAAATGAAGAGATTAGAAATAAAATATCTATTGAGAAGAATTACATAGGAACGCATTTAGAGAGTCCTATCATTTCATAGTTAAAATACGCTGCATGGAAATTTGCTTAATTCGATTCAACACCGCTAAATGTTGAGTGGCTCGAACTCTAATACCTCGTCCCTGTATGTCTACCTTATACATTATGATCCCATGTAGACTTGACCGTGCCTGTGTCAATAGAGCTGTAAGCTTATAAGACTAATTGAGAAGCACGACTCGTCCGACGGATCCGGGTGTCAACAAGGCCGTTAGTCAACCCCTATCTCCGCGTCATCACGACGTGATTTGGAGCGGTAATTTGTCACAGGCCCTCCCGGGGAGGGGGGCGTGATCTATAGAGTGTTTCGTCTCTGAAGAATCCTATGGATACCTAATTATTCCCTTTATTGCCCTTGACACGGGTAATACTGAAGAGTTGGAGGCGGGTTAGTGTATATTGGTGTTCATGCATGTGGGATACCAATTGGACAAAATTGATTGACCACCTTAAAACCACAAAGAGACAAATCACGTAAAAAGCGTCAACCGTCACATTGTATACTTATACTCCATAACAAATGTTGATCGCAAAAACAGTTGATGTTGATGCAAGCAGGCAAGAGGGCTCTAGGATAGAATTTCAGAGGTACATTTTAGAGATACAATTTCATGATTTCGTGGTTCTTGGTACAATGGTTGGCTTTGACGAAGATTTTGAAATGAATTCTAAAACATATAGAGTTGAATTGGTAGGTGTCAATCATATGTACTTTACTTCCAGCGTTGTGTTCGGTTCGGGATTTACAAGCGTGCGAGGAGCCACCAGGGTAGTGCAGCCATCGGTATTTATAATTACAGTTCGTCGAAGTAGTGCTATCAAATTGTTCCCTCAGCAAAACATCTTTATTGTAACGTATGGGACCTTGTTATCGCTGTCTCCTTCGGGAGGTTACATGTTAATTTTCGATGGGGACGCATCAATTATGAATTTGCAGAGGGGAGAGACTCACGTGTAAGTTCCTTCTAATCCACTTTTCCGCCAGCAACACCAGTTAATTTGGCACTATTAAGTACGAGATTACGTTGATGCGGGGAGGCGACGTCTTGTGTGACCAGGCTGACCGTCCATCATAAAATGTGCATTTATGTTCAATTACGTATTCAAACAAGCAATAAACAGCCAAATTTCAACTACCTGTATATCGCATCAGAGAAGTGTCGTATTAAAATGAAGAATATGTCCATGATAACATATCCATGATCCTCTATGATTATTAATGTTTCATCCCCACAGTTAAAACCAAAGAGGCCCGGCTGGGTGGGGTACGACTTGGCGGCTGATACACGGACCTGGTGCTTTCATGTGACATTACATTCAGATGACTGAGATGTGTTACAAACATTACCGCTCGTGAAAGGTCACACACGATAATCAAGACCTTCTGCAGTCCACATTACGGATTATCTTTTAATTTTCAGTAAATGATGAGAAAGGCATGGGTTGATAAACGATAAATGTTATATAACACATATGGTGATGTATGATACAGAGAAAAGATAAAGGGAGTTCATGTTACGAAAAGCTATCTCGAAGCAGAAAATCTTTGTGAAAGCTGCTGCTGTTTTACTGTAAGGTTGACAAGTCCTTTCTGTCAGGGCGGACCGGTTTGTATTCACACAACACCCGCTTTCTTCTCACTCAATAGCGAACTTGTACCCCAATTACAGCGCTGGGAAACAGGGCAAGTCGTTACAGCAAGAATGGCGAGTAGGTTAGACACTTTTCTATTAGATATAGAAAGAACAGATTTATGCAGAAAGGCAGTTCATCGGGCATGCATGGATGGTTTTTCCAGCCCAAGAGAGGCTCCAAGTAGAAGAGTTAAAGACAAGACATTGCATTGTATGTATGTTTTGATATATGATTGCAAAGACAAACTCCTCACGATTCAGACATGTAATTAAGTCATCGACAAGCCTATAGCTCAGATGTACATGTAACTAGGACATAGGCATATCGGACATTCAAAGTTCAGACATAGAGTAAGGTCCCTACTAGTTCAGGTATAATGACGCAGGTGACGTTACGCCCCGGTCCGAATTCCGATGTAGTATGACATGCGTACACCCACAGATTTGGTGTAACTTAGACGTAAATACGCCTGTCATTACTGAGGTGTAATGAAGACATCGGCATGCGTACAGTTGTATATGTCAGTAATATCTACCCGGTGTCATCTCCATAATCGGGGATATAGACGTTGATATCTATCCTTTCACCACTAGTTACAAGTAATGACACATATTCTGTAGCTGGTTATGATTTTATGATCATGAAATATTTTACTGACGTCTGAAGAAATCATAACGTCCCCATGTCAATATTAGATATCATGTATAAACATTCGTCTACTTAGTAATCTGATCTATAGGCCGTCTTTATTCGGGACAGTTCTTATCCTTCGGTCCATATCGTACTGTTAGCTAGTCAGGACCCCTGCAGCCCCAGCTTAAACATGGCATGTCCGTAAACAGAGCGGCTCTCTTGCTCAAATCGGGCCGCTCGCCCCACACGCGTCCCCACCCACGTACTTCGTCAGTACCGGCACGTACCTGCGACCAGGACACACGCCAGCACCACCAGGACTCGAACCCAGGACCTCGGCTCCATCTCTTTTACGGAGGACAGCTGTTGGAGAATCGAACCCCGGAGTTCAAGTTGTTCGCCCCAGATTTCTGTGTTAAGGTCTCATTCATGTATTACTCCGAGTGTACCCCCTAAAAGAGTACCAAGTCAAAAACTAAACGGCTGTATGAACGAGTGTTTTTATTGGTGAGAATTTTCCCTTTAGCCATCCCAACTGATGTAAAACGTCAAAGCGGTGAAAGCTTGTTTGTAACTGATGAAATTAGGACGTAATTGTCGGCAGCCGCGCGCTAGGTCGGACGTGCACAGTCCATTGTTGTGAGTTGTGCGGTCGTAGGTTTGCAGCGCGGGAGGGCCTCTTGCGGACAGCTGCTAAGTGCAGTTTGTGATTCCCATAAAACGGGATTGTGTGTATAGAAGTCGTTGGCAATTTTTTATGAGACGTAGAGTAAATGTGCTCAACATAGCATGAAAGATATCAATTGATTTAATGTAGGATCATAGGGAACACGGTCTCGTAAGTCACTCATTAATGCATGGTTTCTAATGTATGGAAAAAACTCATGAATGAGACCTTAATTAAATATGAAAAATATTCATTAAAAATCAACGATTAGTGCTAAGGTCCCAATTTTTGAACAATGTTTGCCCAGGATTTAATGTCCGATTTTTCAGCGCAAATTGCATTGCGTAACCACGCCCGTTGCCATGGCAACGGACGAGGCCATTTCTGCGGGGGTTGATTGACGCCGTCCTTTCACCATTCTCCGTTTTACAAAGNTTTATGGGCGTGTCCTGATGCGACATGCACATCAATGTCCTTACTGATGCTACGTCTCATTTGCCAGCATACACCAAATGATCAGCATCGTTCAGATCTATCACTTGCTGTCTATTCAGGTTTACAGGCAAACAATCTCATACAGAACACACTAATCTACCCAACGGAACGAAAAAACAATAAATTACTGTTTCCGACACGTCATAAGGGTAATTAAGATATCTGCTGTACTTTTATTTCAGACTGCCAGGTGGCGCTGCTCATATCAAAATTTTGACGCAACTTTATTGACCCGTTGCTTGGTAACGGAGTGACGTGAGACAAAATCTTTCTCAGAGATTGTTAGGGGATGTATATTCTTTCATTTAAGACCAAAATCTTAATAATCAACGGTTATTAATTAAATATGAAAAATATTCATTAAAAATCAACGATTAGTGCTAAGGTCCCAATTTTTGAACAATGTTTGCCCAGGATTTAATGTCCGATTTTTCTAGCGCAAATTGCATTGCGTAACCACGCCCGTTGCCATGGCAACGGACGAGGCCATTTCTGCGGGGGTTGATTGACGCCGTCCTTTCACCATTCTCCGTTTTACAAAGATTTACAGTCAAATAACGTTTTGAAAAGCTGTCATATTCAAGATACATACACTAAAGATTATTCCCTGACTGTCAGTGTTGTGTAAGGCGTCTGTAAAAGCAAGGACTGACAAGCACACGCTTGCAAATTATATAGAAATCGTGTAAACCCAAATTCACGGACAACACATGCAAACATTAGAAGCGTTGATTACGGAACTTAGATGTTCATATGAAATTGTGGATAGAGTTAAGGAACCACAGAACAGGAAAAGATTCAAATAATAAAGGTATGTGCGCTCCTGCTTTACAGGAAAAGACGTCAAATACAAGGCAATCCGATGTGCTACGGATCGTTCAAAACCACCTTGCCCGCAGCCTGACTGTGTACAAACCTAAAATCGCATGCCTGACAAGTAGGGTTACCTGGTTGCATCCCAAAGTAATTCCCATTACGTCTGATTACCCCGCTGGCCGAAATTTGTGCCATTGTTACCCCCCCCCCCACACACGCACGCACGCACACATGCACGCATTGAGTCTGGCGCCCCCCCCCCCGCCACTGTCAGGGCGGTGGATCCTTACCCCGCCCCCCCTCCCAAAACTAACAGAAAAACACCTGGCACGCTACAGCTGACGTGAATTTGTATCCCCCAGACTTCCAGACTGCAAAATCAGACTAGATTTAGTTAATTTCTACTTAGGTGAGAAGGGATATATTATGCCAAAGCATTACTGTAACTTCCATTGGAAAAGTTTCTGTTTTGCTCTGTTCTAAGAACGCTGTCTGGAATTCCCCTTCCTTTCTGAGTGATAGTTTATGGTCAATCTGGCCTCTTTTGCCTTTATTCTTCTCAACTAGTAGAAAAAAGGTACTTTTGACCGAAGTTGCCTCGCATTTTGTAAGCAGAATCTTGCGTCACCTCTGTAAACCACTCCCCATTCCCGCCTAGGCTGACTTTTAGAGTGCGCTAGATGCACTATCAGCAGCATGGCGCTTACTTCTTCTTACCTCGGGTTCAAATTTTAGCAAGTGTATATGTTTGGTTTTACTGTTGTTTGTGTAATGTCGATGTTTTCGCTTTTATGGGCGTGTCCTGATGCGACATGCACATCAATGTCCTTACTGATGCTACGTCTCATTTGCCAGCATACACCAAATGATCAGCATCGTTCAGATCTATCACTTGCTGTCTATTCAGGTTTACAGGCAAACAATCTCATACAGAACACACTAATCTACCCAACGGAACGAAAAAAACAATAAATTACTGTTTCCGACACGTCATAAGGGTAATTAAGATATCTGCTGTACTTTTATTTCAGACTGCCAGGTGGCGCTGCTCATATCAAAATTTTGACGCAACTTTATTGACCCGTTGCTTGGTAACGGAGTGACGTGAGACAAAATCTTTCTCAGAGATTGTTAGGGGATGTATATTCTTTCATTTAAGACCAAAATCTTAATAATCAACGGTTATTAAGTTGTCGTGTTTGGTGAGCGCGCGTCTGTGGTCTGCTCGAGATGCACCGGCGACCCGCAACATGTGACGTTATGGGGCGAAATTAAATCATTTCTTACCGCCGCATCAGCCAGGTCGAAGCGTTTAAAAGCCATAAATGTTACACCAGAACTGCAATCAATTGCAAAGTACAGAATTCCATGATTGCCTGAAAACTGGGAACCAATACGCAAGTGACTTAGATAATGTGTACCAACCTTAAGAAAAGATCGCTGTGTTACATCACAGGATGTCATACATGTACAAATGCAGTGGGCCATGGGATATATACAGATAGATATATACAGATATAGCCTCCCGCCCACCACATTCCTAAAGATTGGGTTGGTCTGTTTTCATATGTTCCCTTCCTACATCGAATACATACCAACCGGTACACATACTGGCCAACTGCTTTTTATACTTAAGTGACAATACGAATGAAGACATGCACACCCCGACTGGAACGCATTTCAAGAATATCATCTACTTGTCGTTCTGTTTAACATCGTTTCATATTCTGATAAACTGTTACTGTGCAAACCATTGCCAATATATGTCATATCTTGTTGACAAATGATATGTAAGATCTCAGATAACGCTGACTTATGTGATTCCGTCGCGGCCCGATGACCATGACCTTTTCCGTCATCACGGAAGGCAACACGACGATCCGTCCTCACGACTCACGATAGACTTCTCATGGGATGACGCAACGGTACATGGTACATCTATGCCTGTCGAACAAGATGTTGTTTTCATTCAATGGCAAACATAGCTCGAAGCCCTGGCCTAGTTAGTATCTTCAGCTAGTACCAATTATTTTGTTCATTGGATAACAGTAGCGCATAATCTATATAATGTGCGATGGTACATATGGCTGCAAATATTCAAATGTATATAACGTTATATATATAGTATATATGTGGGCCGTCCGTAAAACTGTGTTTATACAACAGTATAATAGCATATATGCCACTGTTTATGCTCGCACCTGCCTCTACCGACACAAAAAGTGCACTTCCAATAATCTCTGAGTACTGTAGCCTGACATTTGACCTACAGGTCAATGAACGTCATCGACCCTCACCGTAAGGACTAATTGTCTTCCTGCTTAATGTCTTCAGGGGTTGACTTTTGACCCATATCTTATTTTTCACGGTTATTTGATTTTACTATTATTACTTGCAGGTAAATTAAATTGATGAGTTGTCTCGTCTATTTTTCTCTACAAAAATCGCCTTCAATCAAGATACATGCTAGTTAAAACTTGAAACTGTAAACTGATCGAAGGCATACATGATCGTGGACAATTCCACGAAATGTTATTGAAGGTTTATTTGTGAACCGTTTAATGATTTAGTGATGCCCATGGCTGCGGTATATATAACAACTAGGGTTATGGTTTTAGGGATTGTCTCGTGGCCTTGAAGTCTTTTCAGACGAAATTGATTTTTCAACCTCTTCAAACAAAGAACGATATGATCGTATGCACTGCATTTCTCAGTATTGTACGTTGTTAAGGCCGCGACTTTAGGCATGATTAATATAATAAGACTTGAAATCGTTGAATTCACTGTGACTATGTAGCTATAGTACCCACACTGCCAGAGAGACAACTGCTGAGCCGAACACTTGGACCAAATACACGACACATTTACACATCTGCTCGTCGCGTCAAGTGCCAGGCAAATCTATCTCGGGAAGCAGAGCTAGCTCGATATTTCCTGCGCCTATCTCTTTCCTCTGCTCGCTTGTAAAGATGCTGTGCGAGGTTATGGCCGGCAATATATGGCGTGGAATATATGGTTTCGTCAACGCCTAGAAGCGAGCGATATGTTGAGACTTACGTGACAAATATTCCGTCACATTCCGCCGAAGCCATGGCATGTGCAATGGAGTTTAAAGGTTCGAGGGCATTCTGAACTTTGAACAAATATCGCTAGGTGTCGGACAAAATCTGACCTAGCTAGAAAACCACGATTTAGAGCTCATACCGACCCATAAAATAAGTTTGTATTTCCTCTACATTAAACTATGGAGAACATTCGCCAATCTTTGATGTTATCTATCAGTGTTATCCTATATGTGATGGTGCTGAGACTTTTGAGCTTCCAGCCGCGACGAAACAGCTGATTGCCATCCTTTGGCCCGCGATGTTTTCCTATCACTGTACATTTTATCAACACCCTGGGTAAGAGAGGCGGGGCTCGTGAATCCGTAGATCGGCTTACGGCGGTCCAGAAATGCCTGTATTATCGCGGGAAGAGTCTGGACTTCGGAATATTTTAAACAAACCCGGACAGGGGATAGAACATGTTCCTGTGGCTGATCTAGGCGACAAAGTGGAAGGACAGTTAAATGGCTTATTAATATGGAGGTGGAATGTTATAGCCTCCATATAGCAGGCCGCTCTGCAGTCAATAGTTTACAGTATCATATACCTAGAATGAAAAGTACAGCAGGATGACACAATCCAACAGATAAATATACATATGTGATGTTTATAGTGCTGAACAGCTGTTGGCAAATGTTTTAAAGAACTTACAAAAGAGGAAAACTGTCTATACAAAATATACAGTTGCTGCAGTATCATGTTATGTTTGTTTTATGTGCCTTGCTTGTCCTTTGCCTTACATGTGTATGTTAAAATACTTGCTAGTGTAGCACACACTCACACGTGCCCCTGGTGTAAGGCCTTCCTCCCTGAGTTACTAGAGAAAAGCAACCACATAGCCTGATTTCTACACAGATTTATAAACCTCAGGTCGATTGCATATGCCCTAAGTTACATAGAACTGAACTTTTATGAAGCACATTTTGAATTGCAATCTCACAACAACACTTGAAGACTATATCTTTACATAAAAAGTAAAACAAGAGTGATTAATACAAGTAATACACTGTAAAGTGGGTTGATAGAAAAATACATTCAGAATACAATATGTACAATACAATGTGTGCAATGTGAATTGCCTGCTTTAAAAGGGCACATTTTGCACAGGAAAAGGACATCAGTACTAATTTACTATGACAATGACGAAATACAGCATAAAATACGGCTATATTTTAGCACTTAGTGTTACATGTATACTCTGCAACTGTTACAGTGATTCAAATCTGACTAATGTCATGATGTGCATCTTTTGACTTTTGGCACAAAACCATACATGTACATTGACATATTAATATCTATGGCATCACAACTTTCTAAAAAAAAATTTCTTAAAAAGTAATAAAAGGCATAGTGTAAAATAAACTAAAATCAGCACCATAACAATGTGAGATACATGTACATGTGTTACATCAAAACATGACACAGACACCTACATGCAATATGGTACAAGAAGAGTGTCTATGTACCAACTGAGTATTGCTACACTCATATATTAGGGAGAAGTTCTGTTATTTTGCCATGTGGTTTTTACACTCTAGTTCTCAAAGCCATAATTATTGTATCCCGGTGCAGGGATCTGTTCTCTTTTCTTCAGCCTCCTGCTTGACTTGGTTGTTCTTACAAGTGAATCATCCTCAGTATTTATTAGATTCTCTTTTGATCCCTGCTTCTTTTTGCGTCTTGATCTGAAAGATTCAGACAGAAAGGTTTTAAGGCATTACGTCACATGAAAAATAAATATTAACCAAAGGCATCCATATGCATGTTGCATTTTTAAAACTGTGCCAATTTCTATTTTTTTTTACAAATGTAGAGACTGAGGAAGTGAGTGTGTCTTGGCCTACAACACACAGATGTGACAAATCATAAATGTTACCAAGGTAATAAACAATACAAAGAGTAATTTTTCTGCCAAACCTTGACTTTTGTGAAGTGTCCTCTGTATCACTGTCAGGTCCAGACAGAATCTTCAGTTCACCAGACTTGGTCGTCACAGCTGACATCTTGGATCAAGGAAACACAAATTAAAGATGAATCAACAGTTTCACAATTATTTTCAAATCTGTCACAGAAATTGACAGAGGGTTTGATGATCACAAAGCATCATCCTACATGTACATGTATGTTACCAACCATAGCAAGGGGACGAGAAGACAATTGAACAGTTCTGCTACTCTAAAACATTTCCCTATTGAGGAGAAATCTTCCATGACAACTCTCCCTACCCTGGTGTTGGTGTCTTCCTCTTCCCCTGCTGCAGCCTCACCCTGGGGGGTCTCCTGGTCCTGCCAGTCAGCTGTAACAGGTGGAAACTTTGCTTCAATCTTATAATTATTCAGGAAAGCAACAGACAACAAAGCAGAAACTCAGAAATTCCACTATATTTCTGTAATGTGTACAAACACTCTACAGGCCTTTGGTGCACCTTTTTCTGTCTAGATACTTTTGCAAGCCAGACGTGAGTCTCAGATCAAAAGACATCTATCACTTATGTGTAAATCGTATGATATTTGAGCTCCCTGTGTACCTTCCTCGGTGATGTAGTTAGAAGGGAAGAACCCCTGCTGTCCATCCTCCAGCTCACCGAACCACCAGTTCTCGTTATCCTTGTACAGGACAGTTATCCTGTCTCCTCGCTGGATGGTCAACTCATCTGACCGGTTAGCCTGGTAATCGTATAACGCAACCACCTGGAGGGAAAATACTGTCACTATAAAAGGAGAACCTGTACATGTGGTACTGGTAAGTAAAATATATCCCGCTTTGTTTAAGCCCCAAATGATATTTAAGATAATTCATATTCATATAAAAGATGGAAGAATGGAAAATCTCCCCAGCTTGAGGATTATTGGACCTAAGGTGTCAGTCAGACTTGCTGTACTTACAGTCTGTCTGAGTGGAGATGTGGCTCGGTTGGCTCGCACACTGACAGATGGACCCTTCTTGGCACTTCCCTGTGGAACATTGAAAGTGTTACTAACACAGACATGGCAGAAAATCACATCGTCATCAGTCATTCTTCTCAGGTAATGGGTGAAAATACAGATACAGCAGATTACATGACCTTTCAAAACTGACAAAACTGACAATGTGCACCCAAACATGCTGAGGATTTCTAACAGCTCTCATTTTCTGAAAGGATTGCAGGGTGATCATGTATTTGTATTTGTAATGAACAATATCAATAAAATAAATGTCAATATGCATTGTCAAAGCATTTTGAATGCATGGTCAAGAGAGTGTTAGTCCATTCGAAGCAACTAATACTTATACTTAATACAATGTAGTATTACATTTATTGCATTGTAACTCCATAGCCTACATGTACATGTATGTATGTATGTATGTATGTACTACGTAGCAAACATTGAGGATGCACTCCTACAAGTACATAGATGTACATGTACTACTGTACATGTAGGTAGGTACAACTGGCAGAAGTACATGTACATGTAGGCATTAAGCAGAATTTACTCTAACATCTAAACATCTACTCATGCATGAAGCTGCACAAAAAGTAGACAGTAACAGATGTCATATTCATCAATGGGTCTGAGACAACTAGATTATTCTCCACTGCTAGCCCAGATCCAACACTCCTAACATGTTTCTAGCGAGCACTGTCTACCTCTAGTCCTGCTACAGCTCAAACACAAACTGAAATCAAACATACGAGGTCGAAGGTTACGCGGGGTGGGTCCCCACGCCTCTTCCTATGGTCGGCACGCTGCTGCAAGTTAGTGTCAGTCAGTAAGTGGGTTAGTTCTTGCCCCAAATCCACCAAGGTTGAAGGATTAAAAAAAAAACTCAAGTTTTCACGACATTTTACAGAATCAGACTACAAAATCAGTGTGAAGGAGTCTAAGTATTAAACATATGATACATGCATCTCAGTGGGAAAAAGGACAAAGTGAGTAGCAAAATCTCAGGCAGTTTTGAAGTTGTTCTTCTGAGATTAACAGCAAGTAATACCACTGTTACTGCCTCTTAGATAAAGATCCTTCCATGACTGTTGTTAACACATAGACACAAATGTGCTTAAATGTACAGTCACTATTTTTCAAATCTGGTACATACAACTTATGTGTTTTCCTGGTTGCTTTGCTTCATCTATTTCAAAACTGCCTGTTGTAATACAGATCCCTGCATGCCTGAAAAGACACCCTTGGTTATCAGCACTCTATAGGTCCAGGTTAGTAACTTCTAGAAGGGGAAGAAGACAGAGCACAATCATAGGACACTTTTCTTCTTGCACAGCCTGCTCCTATAGATTTTAGACAGTAATTATAAGTGCCATGTGAAGATCATGCTGGGAGTGTACAGAACTGTTAGTTTTACAAACTGATAACACACACAGTTGTAGTTGTACATGTACTACAAGACAATATCAAGTAATATTTGGAAGACTTACAGCTTGGAATGAGACCTGTGGTGCTGACCCCTTACCCGGGCTACCTGGTCGTCCCCCCACAGGGACAAAGTCTGGTGTCCAGCCACGCTGCTGGTTCCAAGTACTCAGGGGACTTTGCTAAAAAATTACAAACAAGCACAGGTCAGTTGACTGGCTAAAAATGATAACAGTTAGACCACTTCTGTTGAAATTTCATGCTTAAATAAAAAAGGTGCAGCCTGAGGGATGCCCATTATGTAGGCTTGTGCAGCACACTGATCAATGCACTTATCGTGTGCACTGTGCATGTACATACATGTAGATCAGACATTGTGGACACAGACTGACAGTTAACCTCACAAGTCAAAATGAAGTTGAAGGAAAACAGAGGATATCAAAAAGTATAAAGAACTCTGTAGCATTGCTCAAAGTCAAAGCATTATCCTGTGCTTGTGATTCCATGTGATTTTCTATACTAAAGAATGTCTGTGACTGTGACCAATGGAGGTTATGATATTTGTTACCCCATAGCCCAGGTCATTCCTGACAAAGTGAACCTGTTTCTTTCCGAGGGGCTGGCAGTGATGTAAAAAGGAAATATATTGGTTGGACAAATATCAATACAGCTTTAATCAGTTGACATACATGAGGTACTTTTTGGGCCACATAACATGGCTGCAACACTTCATTATATAATAAATGTATTATCTTTCTGCTGCTCAAAACATTGACCTATACAAAAAGAATAATAATCTACTTTTAGTAAATAATTCATATTCAAAATAACAGTAGACTTGGGTTTTGATACAATGGCAGAGTACCAGATGATGTAACTCACCGTGTAGGGTGTCCTGTCAAAAGTTGACCCCCATGTACTGTTTAACATGGTAGTTCCCTGCACCCCTGGAGTGGATTGGTAGCTTCCTCGTGGCGACCTCTGACAGGATAAACAAATACAAAAAGAAATTATCATCTGGCAGAAGAATCTGACAACAGTACAAACCTGGGCAGTGATATAATTCATAAAGAATAAAATCATGAGTCCTTGGACATACATCATTTGAGACATTTCATGAAGAGACCTTTGATACTAAAAGGTTGCTTACAGAAACTGAGCTCAACAGCTGAATGGCTCTGTCCATCCGATTGGCTCTTCTTGACTCCTCATGCAGAGATGTAAGGTCTGCTCCCATTGGTGTCTCTGCCCTGAAAGTGGACTGTGTGGCCAATGGGGTGACTGGAGTCTTCCCCACGGGACTGACGGGGCTCATGGGCTGTGGGAGGTCATCTGAGATCACTCCAGCATCTAGTCTGGCAACTAAAGGAATGGATGATGTGACAATTTTTACACTTAAGCAAAACCCAAGGACCTTGAGTTAGTCTTCTGCATTAATAGATGCAATATAAAACTGGTAATGCTCATATGAAACATGATCTTATCACTTCAGAACACTTATTTCTACATATTGCTGCAATTGATTATGTATTTGACTGTGTAATGTTGTTGTTCATGTGTGTTTACACATTCATTGTTTTTTGTAAGGGAGGGCAACTTGTAAAGGTGCGTAAGCACCTGTTTTGCCCTCCCTTTCACTTTGTGAAAAATTCAAATAAACAAATAAACAAACAAATAAACAAAACAGTCAATCTCCAAACTACACTGGACTTCAGCAACATTCATGGAATCAACAGATGAGCCAAGGGAACTCTTAGCTCCGAACTGAAAAAAAAAAGACTGGCAATTTCAGAATGCCTCTAACTTTGGAACAGCACCAAATTTTTCATAATCATTTGTTTCAACCAACCAACCAACAAATCAACCAACAATTTTTTCATTCATGTTGGGTAGGTGAAATTTGTCCACAGACCTGTCCTGAAAAAGATCTTGTCAGGAGGAGGTGTTTCCTGGTAGAGATGCAGGGCCCTGTGTGCAGCTGGGTGATGGGCCACAGTGGTCAGACTTATGTTTGCCAAAAACTACATTTTTATATAGTGCCTATCTTTAGTTTGCAGTGCAGAATTTCCTATAAATTTATGAATCTGATAAAATGAGCTTTGGAATTTTCTTCTGGCATTTTTTGAGGACAAAAAATTACCTTTCTGGTCATATGTGTAGATGAGGATAGGGTTATTGTCTCCATAGCAACAGAAGGCCACCATGTGATCGTGTGGGTGGAAGTCCAGCCCGCATACCGTGTTCTGGTACCCCAGCTCCCTGTACACAGCCACCTTATCTCCTGTACAAACAGTGTGGAGCTCCTGGTTAACGCACAAGACTTGTAAACTTACATGTAGAGATCAACAACCAAGAACAAAAGTCTAACATCCCCTCTGTAACGTATATAAGTGGTGCACAAATCAGGCTTAAAAGGGGAGACAGCTGGGCTATGATACGATACAATCTTATCGTGTAGAAGCAGGACTTCTAAATTCCCTACAAAATAATCAAACCATGCCAAACATAAGCACAAACATCAGGACAGTAGCAACACCATTCACCTGTCTCAGTGTTCCAGACGTAAGCACAGGAGTCCTCACTGCCGGCGATAACAAACGACCCACACGGTGTGAGGACACTGCGGACCTGCTGACGGCTGTTCAGTGCACCGTGGTACCTCTGCATGACGGAGTAGCTGTAATATCAGGGAAGATGTTATCAGATTGAGATATACACATTGTAACCCATTGGTTCACACGTGCAGTATGGTCTCTGATAATTATACAATGTCATTTACTCATGCCTCATCTGGGTGTAACCATTTCCCTGTCATGATGGATTAAGTGTGGTGGAATTATCTGGGTTGTTATAATTAATTTTTTTTCCTGCAGAATTATCAGTTGTTGGACCAATTACTGTCCACCAACAGTGTGCAAGATTGATTGGGATGGGGATGATTTTGTATAATTTTGTTCTCAGATTTTTTAAACATTTCATTTAACTAGTTGACATTTTTTAATTTTTGTTTTTAGACTTTGATTCGGTTTGAGGGTGACTGATGTCACTTATGTAAGAAGAACAATGAGTAATTTGTATCAATTTACTATTTTGTTATTACCGTCTCCCCGAAAACAATTACACTCATTGTTCTCATCACATATGACATCACAACTTTTTAATGTAATCTTTTGGTTGTTTTTGTTCTCTGAAATACATTTTACCCCTTCTTTTTGCGCTGCCCTGGAAGTGTCTTTGGAATGTCTTCTTCATAAAGTCTGTAAAAAAGCAGCAAACATTTCCACTAGACATGACGACAACATGGACACAACCATTGGCACTGCAGGAGGAGGACAGAACTGTGGATGGACAGAACCCACGAGGCCGGCTAAGAAAGAAATGGATATTCAACATCCAGGACGTTATCCACAACTTCATCAATCATACTGCAAGACAGAAGAAGTAGCTCGTCACTGCCTGAATTTAAACCTCAACATCTCATGCACATATGGATGTCTTGTAAGACAGTAAACTGAACACTGAGCGGGAATTCTACATTTCAGCACCAAGGGCAAAACCATTAACACAGGTGTGTTATTCAGTATAGTGCTTTCGTTTTGTACCATTGAAATACCTATCAATTATAGATACAGGGGTAGGACAGAACCATCCATAATACTGGCATAGAGCAGAACCATTCATAATACAGGGGTAGGACAGAACCATCCGTAATAAAGGACCATTCATAATATAAGGGTAGGACAGAACCCTGAAAGGACAGAACCTACAAAGCCAACCAAGATAGAAATGGCTGTTCACCATATCAAGGATCACCATCTTCAACCTTCATAGTGTCAGATATAGTGATAGAGGGAGCTGGTAATCTGCCATCAAAATCAATGCAAGCACACCCAACCCTTGCAAGTCAAGGATCAACAGACAATAAACTGGACAGTAGATGAGTGAGCAAGTGGAAGTTCCACAGTTAACAACAGTACTATATTTCAGCACCAAGGACAAAACCGTCATCATCACATGGGTATCATTCACTACAGATCAGCACCACGGAGAAAACCATTACAGATACATGGAAGTTTCAGAAAACTGGGCTGTAGTTCAGCTCCATGGATAAAACCATTAGTAACACGTTTTTTTGACAGTATGGGGCTATATTCCAGTACCATGGACAAGCCTAGTAATAACCTAGGTGTTTCTGCAATCAGACTCCTATACCAAGGGCAGTAGGAGTGGTTCACAATTGTTCTGCACATTACATCTGCAGATCTTAGTACAAAAAAATGTTGAACTGGGATCTAAGAGACTTACAGTCTCAGGTCCACCAGACGGACTGTGTTGTCCCTGCCATGGACCAACAGTCTCCGCCCACCATGATGCAGCTGAATACTGTTGATGGTCACACCCTGGAAAACATCAACACAGTCAACACTGAGCCACTCGATCAATCATCCTCCAAGACACAAGATGCAATCAATGTAATATCAGCATTGTCCAAAACATTAACTGTTTCTTTGTAGAAAAAAAATGTTTTAGAAGTGTAATATTTTGACTCACCCTGAGTTCTTCCTCCCTAATCTGATGGTGCAGGTTCCATTCAGCCACGGGGTCTGGGTGAGGAAGGACAGGTCATCAACAGATATGTAGACTATGAGCTTTCCTTATATTGACAGTTATTGCCATGCCATCATGTCTTTTCTTTCCATGCATTAAGGCTATAGGGAAGTTTGCTAATTGCGATGTTTAGTGAAGTGTGAAGTGTGCTAACACAGAAAGAGTGCTGGAAAGAAACAGTGCTAACACAACCACTACATGTAGACTAAGTGCATTTGTTACCTGTGTTGGCTTCCCAATGTGAGAGTCCTAAAATAACCCACATGTGCAATTAATAAACTGTGTCAGGACCAGTTCAGTTCATTTCATGATGCAGGATATAGACAAAGTTGTGGAAGTTAGTGGAAGAATCACAGAGTGATTAACAATCAGAATATCCCAGACATTTGAGTTGTTGTTAGTCTTGTTGCACTGCCTTCAAAATGTCTGTAAGGGTCTGCGAAGCTTTAAAGAAAGAAATATTTCATTCGAAAAACAATTTCCATATACTGCGTTTAACTGCCAGGATTGCCTTAGTGGCATCCCCTGCCCCCCACTTACCTCTCCTGGGCTGCTCATGTACAAAAGTGTTCCAGATGATGATGACCCCCTCACTGTCAGCTGAGAACATCCGCATCCCTGCACAGGACAGTTACACATATGATCAGACAGGTCACAGCTTTTCAAAAATTGTCTGGTCTAATCTTAGTGCAGGGTTGTGTACTTTGTAAGAGTATCCTTATCCACACTAAACCGGCTATACAGATACAGAATGTACCACAAACATTTCTTTTTCCCACAATATCGACACTGAGACTACAACTTCTTCAGAAATGGCACCTAACACTTTTAAACCTACATTTTGTACCTTCATCAAAAATGTCAGATACATGATTTACTAAGATTTGAAACATGATATGACACTTGATAAAATGTACATGCTAGCTACCACTGATGACACACTAACTGAAAAGCAGTGGAATTTCTAATTTATGTCTTATCATGTCATTTAAGTGTAAAAGATACCTCTTACACTGTGATCCCAATACAATCAGAGATGTTGCTAAAGAAACAGACTCACCCTCCCTGTCGAAGCAGAGAGAGTTGACCAGTCCCTGGTGACCTTCCATCTCCTTCAGCAGCTGTCCGTACACACCGTCACCCTGGGAGATCCAGACCCTGATCACGTGATCGTACCCGCCGGTCACGATGATCCCTGGCTGGACGGGGTGGCAGGAGACCGTGTACACGAAGGACGGGTGAGGTAGGACCTTCTCCGCACTGGTTGCCAGGGTATCAGCATTCCAGACCCTACAGGTGACAGGGTGTGCTTACTTTACCCAGCATCAACAACAACATTGTTTCTAGTTCAGTGTATAAAGTATCTGAACCTCCTCCCCAGTTGACTAACCCCTTAGGCAACAGGCTACTGTGCCAAAGGTTAACACAGAACCATATAGTATTAAACTCATTAAAGATCTGAATACAGCAAACAAAATAAAAATACTGTGGTAACACAGGAATAGCCAAAATGAACTGAACAGATGAAGTGAACTGTTGAAACACTGAAGACATTAGAAGTGAACACATCGCACCTTGCTGTCCCATCAGAAGATGCTGAGAAGAGCCGGTTGTTGTCAGGTGACCAGGACAGATCGTAAACAATGTTGTGATGACCCAGGAATGTACCCTTCAGACTGCCGTCTGGAATCTGCCAAGAGGAAAGCAGACAAAAGTCTGTCAGCCATGCTCACCTCAGAGGACACCAAGAAGAGCAAGCGTTGTAAAAGAGGAGCAATTACCTGTTTAGGATACAAATAACATCACAGCATTCTGAAAATGCTTTGATCAGTCATAAGTTTGTTTGTCTCTACATTATGACCAGTTTGATGACAATATTCTAAATATTAGTATTACGAGGTCTACCTAGGTACCTGGAATTTTCTCAACACTGCATGTATTTTGACACGTTAAGTCTCTCTAGCTAAAAAGACTTAAGCAACAAATATGGGTGCTGGACAGGCGCCGGTATATAGGCGTTATAGGCTCTTCAGCTAAAAGTAGAGTTAGAAGCAACCTACTCACCTCATAAATCATGATGGGATAACTGTCCTTGTCTGCACAACCACAGGCCAGCATCCTGGGAGGGGGGGCAGAAAACATGTCAGTCACAAATACAGTAACAGGAAAAGAAGGAAGGCTTACCAAAAATGGCAAAAAACACAAAAATGTTTCTCCATTTTTTCCCAGGTCAGCATTATACAGCAACAGCATGTACTTGTTTAGATAACAGAGTGTCTGGCATAAGGAATACCCCGTACCTGCCGTTAGGAGAGAACCTGACGACCATACAGCCCATCCTGCCTGCCTGCAGGGACAGGGTCTGTTTGTTGGGCAGTCTGCACACCTGGCCTTTCAACCTGCTCCACCTGCCTGGTCCTTCTGTCTCATCTCTGTAACAAACAATACAGGTGAGATAACACACCTGTCTCTAAAACAGGTGAGATAACACACCTGTCTCTAATGCAGGTGAGATAACACACCTGGCCTTTCAACCTGCTCCACCTGCCTGGTCCTTCTGTCTCATCTCTGTAACAAAGAATACAGGTGAGATAATACACCTGTCTCTAATACAGGTGAGATAACACACCTGTCTCTAATGCAGGTGAGATAACACACCTGGCCTTTCAACCTGCTCCACCTGCCTGGTGCTTCTGCCTCATCTCTGTACGAATACAAGTTTCAACTTTATGTGACAAAACTTAACTTTCAGCACCAAGGACAAACTACATATAGACATTTTGTAACCTACTACCTCACTACCTTCTTACCACAACAAAGTACAATAGAGGATTCTTAATAGAAATGATATTAACAACAGAACATTATCTTGGAATTTGATCGTTGTGTACCCTTGTGTTGGAATAAAGTGCAGCATCTTTCTACAACAACAGAACATCTGACATCTGATATCATCTCATAAGTCCTTTTCAAAGTCAATCCCCACCGACCTTGTTCTGGAGGTTCTGTCCTTCAGCTTTGCTGTAAGTTTCATCTCTTTGTAAGTCATCCTGCCTTTCTCCTGAAAAACATCAATGGTATGAGAAATGCTACATAAACAAATATAATGAAACTGTGTGCATTTTTGTATCAAATGTGATCTACCACTGATAGAAATGAGTTTTATTACTGAATAATAAGGTGTTACCACATCATACATATTTGCAAGTTGCATCCAACCTACCTCCTGCAGTGCTACCATGGACCTAGGTGCTGCCTCCACCTTCCCAGGGTTCTTAATACCCTTGACCGTGACGTACAGCGTGGACGGGTAGACCTGTCGGGGAAGGTTCTGCCACCAATCAAACACATCTACCACATCTGGTTTGGGCTTGTACTTAAACGGTGGGTAGAACAGCTGCAAACGGACCTTCTTGTCTGTGTTTAGATTCTTATTGGAACCAACAACCTGCAAAGAAAGAATAATATGTAGATTTCGTAGCTGTTTTCTCTATCAGGTGGTAGTGTGATGTATCAGTGAACAAATATAGTATTATCTGCATGGCTTAAACTTTCATTGATTTAGCTGCATTTCATTTGAAAACAAAAACTCATATCCATGACCATCTATGTATTCAACATGTCCATTCTGTAGTACATTTCCTACCTTTAGAAAGGCCCATGCTATCCTGTGCCAGCCCCCCTGCTGACCCTCTGACCTGTAGTTGTTACTGGCAACACTCATGGTCACAAAGTCCAACACCTCAAACAGGACAACCACTCTTGGGTCTTCCTCCTGGCATGGCAAAAAGGAAAGAATGTTGAATTACTCAATGGATATAGTATAAGCATGATTACTACTAACAAAGTAACATTAAATTTACCACAAGCAAAAGTTTTTGTGTAAGATTTTGTGCCACTTTTAACAAAGACAAACCTGGGTAAAGAGATTGAAGTTCTCGTTGAAGATAAGAAGTTCCTCCCAGGCTGGCAACATGGACTTCTTCTTCTTAAAGTCAAATGGCTGAGTCATGATTGGGAGGATGTACTCCACTTCTCGCCGCTGGGTCTCATAGAAAGATGTTACTGGACGATTTCTGAGGAAATAAAAACAGAAGTACCACTGTAGATTATCACCTGATGTCATATCATCTTTAAGTTAGTATACTTTCCAACATGTTAATGGACTATCTTACTTTATGGATCCAACCCATCTGGATCACAGGTGAATATTTTTGAGGTATTTATCAGGCAGGTCAGTATTAGAAATGACAATTTCTACAGCTAAGATTTTTAATGTAGATGTACAGGTCCATCTACAGGGGACCAAGAGTAAGACTCACTTGTCTAACTTCCTGACATAGTTCCCAGTGTCCATGTCACAGATGTGGACCCTGACCAGTGGATGGAGGATGAACAGGTCAGTCTTGAGAGGGTCGGACTTGTGAACGGTGATGCCCAAGACTTTCCCCTCATCTTCCAGCTGTTTCCTGGGACTCTCAACAATTTCCTCTTCTGTTGACTCAGCTGGAGAAGGAAACAGACAAAATGCTCAGATTCAACAGTTCTTGATACAATATTTGCACCATTAGGTACAATCATGCAGGGATCATTTTGCTATCAGACTCGTATGAACAAATGTTACAGGTGTATGATTTGAGTGCTAACATTGTGTATTACTCATAGCACTTGGTGTAGTGTAATTTCTTACAAAGATAACAAGTAGATACTAAAGGAAATACTAGTACATTACCTTTTCTTCTCCTGCTCTTCTTCCCTTTCCCCTTGCCCTTCCTGCGAGGACTGGCCTCCCCCTCCTCCTCCTGCTCATCCTCCTGCCGTGTCTCCAGGGCCTGCTCGTACTGGTCCAGCATCTCTTCACTGTTCGCTTTGGTCATGTCAGAATGTGAGGCTGACGGTGGGCGTTTCTTCTTCGTCTTTTTCTTGGTAGAGGCTAGTTCCTCTATTGTCATTGGCTCATCTCTGTAAAAGAAGTTTGTTTGTATCACTTAAAAATCTGTTGGAATGGATGATGATATTGGAACAACCTGACACTGAGAAATCACATGATGTTAAAGTAATACACACTGAGTCTCATTCTTTCATGATTCATCTATCAAAGAATTAACAAATCAGAGAAAAAACCCATGTACCCCTGATCTGTATCCTCTGTTGTCTGTCTGCTTTTCTTCTTTTTCTTCTTCTTGCCTGGTGACCTCTCCCCCTCATCTAAGGTGTCTGTGCTCCTGCTGACTGACTCCTCCTGTCTCCTCCGGTTCTTGTTGTTCCGAGGACTGTCATATGAATTGTTCTCCATACTCCTGTTTAAATCATCGGCACTGTCTTTCCTCAGGTCTGCACCCTCCCTAAGGGCATCCAGCTGGGGGTTGGAATAAGAGAAAAAAAGAATCACAAATACATGTATAATACATGTATTTATGTACAAATAACATCTCCATCATTATCTTTGCAAGTTTAGCTACACTGATATCCATAACTCTCTATCTGAAACAAATGTAGTTGACTATATTGTTTATTTTTGATAGATATACATGTACATACTAGTAATACTAAATAAATATATTTGAAAGCTCACCACTGTTTCTGCTGAGGGTTTCTTCTTTCCCTTTTTCTTTTTCTTCCCTCCCTCCTCAGTCCTTATATGAAGCAGGAATACATTATTTCAGCCAAGTCACAAATGAACTACTATATATCTACTGGTATCAAGATTCAAGGATCAGATTGTTAATAGAAAATACTGGTGGCAAAATTTGAAAGTAAGATTATACTAAGAAATATGAACTTCACGTGTACATTTGTACGTGTATGTCCCTTTCATGGTGTGTGATCATGAGAGGAAAATGTGATCAAAATCCTTACTTTGCCTCTTCCATGGCAGCTTCCAGTAGCTGGTTCAGCTTGGCTTTAGTCTTGGGTCGGAGGTCATTGACCCGAGAACCTGGAACTGAAGACAAGGGAAATATACCAAGCTCTATGACTGTGAGTCTGTCTGGCCCTCCTACAACAACATTGGTTTGAACGTTACAATAACTTGTGATCACATACAGCACATACAAGTATTGAAGTATAAATGTAAAATAAAAATGCGATGTCACTGACAGAAAACAGTTGCTTGTTTCACATCGTAGGCTGGTTCTAGCTTTTTATGGGTGGTACTTTTTCTCCTTCACTGCCAACAAAGTGCGGAATATACCGGGTAGTAACGTAACTGTATATCACTTGGTACAAAGTTCTAACACACCTGGTGATGGTACATCCTCCTCGGGGTCTGGGCTGGACGGAGGCCTCCTGGAAGATTTCTTCTTCCTCCGCTGCTTCATAGAGTTCAAACCTACCGATTTTATTCATAACATGTGTAAGAGAAGTATGATTACATGGCTGCTAATCTGAGTAACGTTTCCACATATTCTACACGTACTACGTAGGCCAAAAAGAAACACGGGTGAAAGAACGACAAATTAACCTGTCAAAGACATCAGTGACATATTTATCACCTTTGGACTGTGTGGATTTTTTCCAACATAACCGTTTCATATTGCTGTGCTATGTATTATAAATAAAATGCTCAACTATCTCTTTATTACAGTACAACTAAAATGACTAAAATATTACGTTACCCCCCCCCCAACAAAAAAAAAAAACACACAGAAAGGTCAGCGTACAACCACTCCACGTACCGATTTCTTCCGCCATACCTTCTCCTATCCTTGCAGCAAATCAAATACACTTTAAATATCTCAGATGATTCATGCTGTTTTGTTGTTTAGGCAATGTTTTTGTTCCGCCCAACACCTGTTTGAACTGCACTGACACCCGCCAGACACCGCATCTAATTGGAATTCTTCGTAAATGTCAGCTTTTCTCTCATTGGCTTAAATACAAAGAGTCGGTAACATACGACCAATCACCAAGTCTGTTCTATACCGCTTGGCTAGCAACTGATTTTGAAGAGAGTGACGGTATATGGATTGTACCATTTTCAATTTATAAAATGTTAAAAATTTACAGTTTTTGCAGGGAAAATTCCCTCTTCGAAGATCATTGTGAAATACAAGGGTAATTTGATTCCTTTCTAAGATTGTTTAACCACACTCGTTCGAGTTCATTAGCACAACAGCCCTGCAGTCATGCCCCCACACTATTAATGGTATGTTCTATTAGGGATAGTTCATTACGTCCACAAGGAGCTCTAGGCACAGCTTCCTTTTGCGATATAAATGGAATTGAAAATTTCCCCATCAAGTTATTCCACGTTTTTATAAGTTCAAACATAATATTTTACACCAATATATAGTCAAACTTGTTACATATTCATATAGTACCAACACATAAACATAGACCTAATGGCTTGTCCCTGCTAAAACAATTGCAAAATGGCGGCGACGAGTGTTGACGTGTCTGACGTGACGGACCAGGTGCCGTTGGACGTGGAGGGGGACATCACCGTCCCCGGGGCGCCTCCCGAGATGGACGAGGACGACTTCTCCACGCTAGACGAGCCGGTGAAGGACACCATTCTCAGAGATCTGAAGGTAGCCATTGTATGACTGAGTGTAGAAGGGGAGGGGGGCAACGTTGGCTAGAACTCATTAAACAGGTGTTTATTGTTTACAGGTAGAGCTGTGTACCTAAACAAATTTTAGGTACAGGTACAGGTACAGGTACGCAAAAGTACCTAAGTAACGGGTTCCTCCCTCAGTACTCGGTGTTCAGTACTGAAGGTGCCTTCCGAACTGAACTTCCAGTTCGGAAGTTCTGTCAGAACTGGGCGTCCAGATCTGAGGCGACTTCAGAACTGGAAAACTCTTAATCAGTTCTGGAAACCGAGAACTGAACGTTCCTTCCGTACTGGAAAACGCGGAGCGGCTTTGGCCTGAGTATAGCCCGGCTTATAACTTATAAGCGCTGCCGGGCGGTAGTAAAGCCGGGCAAGCTGCCGGACGGCCGCCGCAACATAAGGCGTTCAACACGGCTGCCGGAGGACAACGAGACCACCTACAGGAAGCGTCTACGGGAGACGAGAGAAACTGAGGCGGCTAACAACGAAGAGCGGGCTGTTGAAGATCGGCACATCGACCAGTTATCGTATTCAGTACTGGAACATCCCAGTACAATTAGAACGTGAGAACAGGAAGCCCAGTTCGGAAATAATTTGAAAACTCGGCTTCCAGTACTGTAGAGTCACTTTTTACTGGTCAATCCAGTACGGAACCCGTTACTTAGGTACATCGACACTCGGCTTTCCAGTACTGAATGACCTCCGAACTGGGTAACCAGTACTGAATGACCTTTGTACCAGCCTTCCTGTAGCCGGGACGCAACACAGTACTGGGGTCCGAGTACCGACGGGCGTTCAGGTCTGGAAAACGAGTTCCGAAACAAGATTCAGTTCTGAACTTCCAGTTCTGACGAAGCTTCAGTACTGGAATAACGCCGTTCCGAACTGGAATTCCAGTTTAGAGCTTTCATCAGAACTGGGCGCCGAGTATCGACGCTATTTTCTCCACGGTTTCCGTACTGGGCGCCCAGTAAGGAACCCGTTACTTTCGTACCTTTGCTACAGGTACACAGGTTTAGGTACAGGTCCGGACCTGAACCTGTACCTGAACAATTCGACCAATTTATATGGTCTTCTGAACTCCTTCAATAACAAAAAAACATAAATAAACTTGATAGTTAAGGTTTATTCTTTGTTTATGGCGAATGCTCAGATAAAATATAGGCAAAACTAAGTGTTTTGTTTTCATGAACACGCTGTCCTTACACAGGGACCCATTGTTAACCACCTTTATACACATTTGAGGTCACAAATAGGCATAAAATTGGTGTGAAATTGTTTAGGTACAGTACCGGTACTGAGGGAGTAGGTATTTTGGACCTGTACCTAATCAATTTTTCCGGTACAGTATCGGTACTGCGTACCGGTACACAGCTCTATTTACAGGTGTTATTGTTTACGTCTCAGGTGCCTTCGCCGTTGACATATTACCCGCTACCATGCATTAGTACTGCACAAATATTTGTGAACCACGTTATACAGCAATAATGTTATAATATAGCCGTGGCGACTCTTGATTCGGGCTTAATACATTGCATTACCCTCAGCAAGAGTCGTGGAAAGATTCATTGGCAGAACTGCACATTTCCCGTTGGCTGCTCGATGCTCCGTTTTTGACCCGGTTTTTTGCTGTCCCGAGCTTCCCTACAATGTAACTCCACAATTGGCCGGGTTGCCGATGTTCAGATCGGCCCAAATATTCCACAGCGCGACCAAAAACTACCTAACCTCACTTATTTACGCTCCGCGCGGCCATCTTGAATATAGTCGGGAATGTCCGGTGCAGTCGTCGGGAACGCTCAGCAGGCTTTCCGGTTATGATTGGAGAGTTTTCGGTCGCGCTTCGGTAATCGTGACGCTACCGAGCGTTCCCAACGGCGGTACCGGACATTCCCGACTATATTCAAGATGGCCGCGCGGAGCGTAAATAAGTGAGGTTAGGTAGTGTTTGGTCGCGCTGTGGAATATTTGGGCCGATCTGAACATCGGCAACCCGGCCAACTGTGGAGTTATATTGTAGGGAAGCTCGGGACAGCAGAAAACCGGGTCAAAAACGGAGCATCGAGCAGCCAACGAGAAATGTGCAGTTCTGCCAATGGATCTTTCCACGACTCTTGCTGAGGGTAATGCAATGTAAGCCCGAATCAAGAGTCGCCACGGCTAGTTATAATACAAAAATTATGACCTTGACTCCTTGTGACCAAGGAGGTTAAATACAATTTTGATTTTTAACCTCCTTGGTTATACGTTTTCTATGTGCCATATGTCATTACATCCAGTCTGTACTTTCAGGCAGTAGGGAAGAAGTTTGTCCACGTGTTGAACCCACTGAAAGGAAGCCGGTCGTTACTGAGAGAGTGGGACCTGTGGGGACCGCTGGTGCTGTGTGTCATGGTGGCACTCTTACTACAGGGGGACAACGCAGCAGACACCGGAGCTCCGCAGTTCGCT